AAAAAGGAACAGTTTACATAGAAAAACACTGTTGGCATGAATTTAATACTACCATCTGTGCAGTTACACTGGGAGAAAATCTGGTAGAAATATAAGAAAACTGGCTGACGGGGGAAGTAATTGGTATAAACAACCAACCAACCATCCAATATATTCTAAATTGGATGAACTACTCTAGGAAAAAAGAAATACAAAATTAGCATCATCTAGCTTACACTCAGAGTTCTCCTGTAATAGGGACATAACTTACTATGAGCAGAGAACACACCAAGTGTTTTCTATTTTTTGCCATAAATAAACTGCTTTGGCTTAGACAAATGTTTGAAATAATCAAAATTAAAAAACCTGTTTCAAGTAGAATATGTAATCAGAAAAATCCTGACTCAGGATTGTTCAGAGAGGCTGATGTCACAGAATGATGAAAAGTAAACATTCAGGCACATGAGCAACACGAATTCAATGCTTTACTCCAAATAAGGCAATTTCTATGTGAGAGCAAAGCCCTAACAGAAAAGGAGAGAATGAGAGAAGCATACAAAGATAGTGACTATAATTTCAAAATAGAAATGGTAGGCAGTTAGAGAATTTTTTGAAAATCAGGGAAAAAACCAGTAAGAAATATTAAGAGATCAAATTTTTACCTAATAATAGTAACAAAAACAGTTAAGTCCCATAGCAAACATGGATTAAGAATACAAAGACATGAGGTTCATTTCTGGGCCCATGTTAATTCCATCAAGAAGAGGGGGATGACTTTGGGGGAGGGGGCAGTTTCTTTTCCTTACAAAGTAGACCTCAGAGGAAAGTTTCTCTGGCACCCAGCAGTGATGTTTCTGCCCTCCCTAGGACAGACAGTAGCAAGAGAAATCAAAGGGGCAGGCAGCAGTCCAGAGAAGTCTGTCTTTCACTCTGTGCCGACAGAGTGATGGCAGGTGTCCATGTCCTTAGATTCTCCACCTTCATCTTTTTACTCAATGTACAAGTTAATCAAGTGATAGAGTTCTTGAGTATGTATTAAACAGATTTAGAGATACGCAATTTATTAACTCAGAAAGCATCTTCAGCAGAACACAAAAGTCTCAATGTATCCATTAAGTTTATACAGTAAAACTTAACTAAAATTTGCAGGGAACATGGAATGTGGAGTTCTCTGTCTAAACCAAATTTACATCTGAATCCCCGAAAAGAAAAATATTGCTAAAGCTTTTTACCAAGTTTTACTGAAGTTACTTGCTAATTCTAGATTTTACGTGGTGAAGTTCTTTTATACAGAGTATTTACAGTTTTGGAATTATGCAAGAGAGTATACTTAAAATCTATTCGAAATCCAATTTCTTTGCTTGGGATAAAAAGCTTTTCTCCAAAAAAAGAATTTTTAAAAACACAGTCAGTTTTACCATAAAAGGAAAACAAACTGAAATGTGTTCCCACTTATTTATTTGCTACAAAATCACCTTTTCTGTTGGACAAAGCCAACAACCAAATCGTTCTCACAGATTTGTGCATATAAACTGAAAAATCTGTCAATATATTAAAAATAGACATAAAAATAAGAAGTGAATATTTGCTTTCTAATTTTTAAAACATGAGGTGAATTTACATCACATAAGCATTAGTAAATAATGAAGGTTAGGCATTTAACATTTGCTTTTTAAAAGATGGAAACAGAATATGAAGTACCATTGCACACAAAATATATACTTCATGATCAAGATTATTATAACTCAGTTCAAGATGCATATCAATGAGAGTAATGGCAAAAAAGTTTGTGTGCTTGTCAATAAATAATCCAAAGTTGTTTCTAAATGCTTGAGTATAAGTTCACTTGAATAAGAAGTTTTCTTAATTTCCCTTGCTTGCGATAATACTTATTAAAAACAACCATTTCTACAGTGGCAACTTGTTATAAAGTAATAAAACAACAAATCAAACCAGGGGTACCTCTCACTATCCCAACTCTGGCTATCCAAATTTTTTTGTTTGTTTGGTTTGGTTTCTTAAAGGGTTTTTTTTTTTTTTTGGCAGCTGGCTTATACAGGGATCTGAACCTGTAATCTTGGTGTTACAAGGCTGCACTCTAACCAACTGAGCTAACTGGCCAACACTGGTTATTCAAATTTAAGGAACCAAACAGATTTTTTGGCAGCTGGCTTATACAGGGATCTGAACCTGTAATCTTGGTGTTACAAGGCTTCACTCTAACCAACTGAGCTAACTGGCCAACACTGGTTATTCAAATTTAAGGAACCAAACAGATTTATAAAATTTTGATATATAACTGGAATCATCAATAACCAAACTCTTGAGGTGGCTGGTTAGCTAAATTGGTTAGAGCATGGTGCTAATAACACCAAGATCAAGGGTTTGGAATCCCTCCCACCCGCCAGTCACCAAAAAAATAAAAACAAAATAACCAAACTCTTGCTACTTGAAACATCAGATTCCAATAATAGGCCACTCCCTAGCTACCTGATCTTATAGTCTAAACTTTCACTATTTGCACTCGGACTAAATGGATTCAGATGTCTAGGAATACTTGTATTTTTTTTTTTTTCTGTTCTTTGGTACACCCTTTGTACATAAGAATGAAATTTTATATTCTGATTTTTCCTTCTATTAACACATGTTTAGTATTTTCCCATGCTATACATAGTCCTCATAAACATCATTTTATTAGTTGTCTAATATTCCCACTGAGGGGATTTGCTGTAATTTACATAACTTCTGCACTATCTTGTAATGTTTATTTGGTCCATTTTCCCCCATAACTATGTTAATGCAATAAAAATCTCCAAATAGTTCTTTGTTTAAAACAAACATTATTCTGTGTTACAACTGCAGCTAAATATTTTATAAGATTATTTTAACTGAAATGTTCAATAACAAATTAGACATTAAAATTAAAAAGCTTTTTTTTAGTAAGTAAATAATAAGAACAAAGTAAAAGAACTTATGTAAATTACAACTCAATAAAACATTCCTTTGATACTTCTCTGTTCTAATTTCTTTGTGGTAAAAATATAAATCCCAATAGTTCAAAATAAAAATAACTTATCAAATAATGATCACATGTAATAAAAGCAAATATAAAATTATTCTTCTAAAGATTTGTATTTTAGGGCCAGCCCAGTGGCGCACTGGAGAGTGCGCCGCTTGGGAGTGTGGCGGCGCTCCCGCCGAGGGTTCGGATCCCATGTGGAGACCGGTTCCCGCTCACTGGCTGAGCGCGGTGCGGACGCAACACCAAGGGTTGCGATCCCGTTGCCGGTCCCAGGTACGGGCGCGACACCGAGGGTTGCGATCCCGTTACCGGTCAGTAAAAAAAGACAAAAAGGAAATAAGTAAATAAATAAATAAAGATTTGTATTTCAGACTACATATTCTTATAGTTGGTTTCAGTGAATACCAGTTATTTTGACCCAAATCCCTGTGCCCATTTCCCATAAAAGTGAGGTTTAATAATGAGAGGGTAACAAAAAGGCACACTAATCTTTTTTTTTTTTTTTTTTCCCCTTTTTGTCTTTTTTCGTGACCGGCAACGGATGGCAACTCTCAGTGTCGCGCCCGTACCGGACCGGGACCGGCAACGGGATCGCAACCCTTGGTGTTGCTCCCACGCCTCGCTCAGCCAGTGAGCGGCCGGTCTGTATGTGGGATCCGAACCCTCAGTGGGGAGCGCCGCCACGCTCCCAAGCGGCGCACTGTAGCAGTGCACCACCAGGCCGGCCCTAGGCACACTAATCTTTATGAGTACTGTTTAAAAGGAAAAAGAAATATGCTGTGTTTATTAAATAAATTGCCTCAAAGTAATGTTAAACTTACATTTAATATTACAGTATCTAAAACCGACAAAAACAGAAGCTCTTCTAAAATTATTAAGTGAAACTCCAAATTTCCTTGAAGGATCTCTGAGAAGTATAACATTTGATCTGTTGTTGAATTTGTGTCTGCTGTAATTACCAAGAGTGACCCTTAGGCCTCCAAGTGCTCCTGAGGTTGTTGGGCGGAGGGGAACCACATAGGTGTGCACCCACAAAATGAGATTATGAGCATAAAAATTTAGAAAACCACTTATTTCAAAGAGAGAGAGAACAGGAAAAGAAAAATGTCCGAGAATGTGTTTGCCTGACAGGAAAAAATATAGACATCATCAACAAACCTTTACTACACATGGTGACCTTTACTTGTCACAAACAAGACCAAGAAAATATTACAACCTTGTGATTGTTATAGATTTAAGCAGCTACATGATTTTCCAGTAAAAAGGAATCCACCATATTTTTGTTAAAAATTCAGCAGAGGTCTAAATCACTTCAAAAGCCAACCTATCTTTAAAATATTCTTAAAGATAGCTTTGTACAACTTCCCAAGGGTAGGTAGCTGACATCAAACTGTAGGACAATCTACTGCTACTTCTTCTCTAAAGAGCTCCTCCTAGCCCAAATGTCTTCTTCAGCACTGAGTGTCCAAACTAAATAACTGCCTTTGTGCCTCCATTTAATCTAAAAAATTTAAGAACCTCGAAATTCAGAACTGTGATATAACTAGAACTAAAATAAAACAGGTTAATGTCATTATTATCTCTTCACTAATAATACACAGTTTAGGTTCTTAACGTTCCATTTTATTTTCATCTCAGTAATGATTTTTTTTTTTTTTTTTTTTTTTTTTTTTGGTTAGCTGGCTGGTATAGAGATCCGAACCCTTGACCTTTGTGTTATAACCCTGCACTCTAATCAGTAATGATTTTTAATTAACAAGCTTGAAATTTTCTTTTTTGGGGGGGTGCAGGAGGGCTGATATGAAATACTCAGCTCCATCTGCGAAGGCAAATGCAACAGAAATATTTTTCTCAAAAGACAGAAACAGAAATAGTATGAAATCTGTCTGAAGATGGCCCTTTGTGCTCTTCTACTATAACAAACATTGTGATCCTCATTTTTCCTCAATGTTAGCCCCTGACGTTATTAAAATTAATGTGAAAAATACTCTGTACTCACTCTGGCATTCTATGAATTGATGAATAAAAGTGCAGTCCCCGCCACTCTTTGAAAGCAAGTGCTCTAATAAAGAAAGAAACACCTTTAAGAATATAATTTGTTGCTGTCTTTGAAAACCAACAGCAAAGGAAGGAAAATTGAAATATTTTAACATGGGTAACTCTGAGTAAGACTAATAAAAGTTGAATATATTTTAATACTAAAGGTAGACATAGTTTAGAGTTAAAGTTAAATGACTTAAAATTGTGATTACATAATCATTAATTTGTACCCTGAATGGTTAGCTTTTAAAGGTACAGTTTTTATCCAGAGCTCAAGAAAACCACATAAATTTGTTGCTTTAAAAAAGCTTCACCCACTTTTAAAATACACCTTTCTCCATGAGAGTACCTTAAATAATTTTAAATTCCCTTAAATAATTTTAAAATTTTATATTTGTTATTACTAAATTAATTTTCAAGTGATTGTTCTATAACAGTCCCTCTTCAAACTTATTCATTCTAGTTAAGAAGCAAAAGGTAAATACTTTAAGAATACCATAAATGCCTTAAAGTTTTAAAGAAACTGATGAAATATTTAATTTTTGTATTTTCATTTCATAAATAATCTTCTTTTTTGAGTCACTTAATCTGTACCTCATATACTATCAAAATGTTACATTGTTCATCTCTGCCCAAATGATCAAAACCAGTGTCTGTACATTTTGAAATAAGAGCTTGGTAAAAAGTTTTGCTCAGGTCAAACAGAATTTTGTTGTTGTTGTTGTTGTTTTTAAATAAATGGAGAGAATCAAAATCTAACATAGTGGTTTAAAAGAAGCTGCAGCCTTTTTCTTACAATAATCTTTATTTACTCTGTTTCAAAGAATTAACTTTGGAAATCTGGATAGCATCCTTCAATTACATATTTGTACCTTTCAAAACCACCAAATAGATTTTAGAAGTTTAAGTGTTAAAAAATATTAAAACATGATGACTATTTGGAAGGTACAAAAGCACTAAAACCTGTCAAAGAGGACACATGAGTTGGCACCACTCCCACTGTAAAAGCCTCTTGTCTCTTCTCCTCCATCTCAATTCACCTCACTCCGCAATCACCTCAACTTTGCGTGAGGCCAACACCTCCTACTCTGATCGCGCCTCATCCTGTCGACATCCTTCCTGTTAGCTGCCTTCTTCACCTCTACACTCAAATTTATCATTATCCTTTATCTAGTTAAATAGTGTGCACGGCCTCCAATCTACGTAGACTTATCCTCAGTATAAAACAAAAATATGGGGAGTGGGGAAAGGTTGATACAACTCATGTTTTAGAGAGACCAATATGTTACATACTTAGAATATTATATGGAGATACAATATAGCCCCTTTGCTCCCAAAATGCTAATTGCAACAAAAATTTGAAATTAAAAAAAATCTAATAAATAGAATTTGCCAATTGGACCAAGAAAAGCAAAATAGGAGCCCTCGGTAGAATAGTAATTACCAAGATAAAAGGTTGTTTTATATAAATCTAAACTATAACATTCTTAGAACTCAAACTATATAACATCATGTTATATATAAAAACTCATTTGGAACCAAATTTTAACCTAAGGGAGTTTATAAAACTTATTTGAAATGAAATTTCAGACCAATATCAAAGAAGTTTATTTATGACATTTATTAAAGCAGGATATCCAACCATCATCATTCAGCAAGCTAAAAATCACTCTTTTATATACTTTGATTTTAATATCTGAACTCTACATTACAATATTTACTACACTAGTTTAAATAAAATCCAAGAATACTATAAAAAGATATATATATGACTTCTACAAAGGATCACGGATACACATGACAGAAAGACCTTTAAGATAGTATACATACAGGATTTGGATCATGACACTTAATACTCTGTAACTTGAATTCAGGCCCTTGGGAATTCACTTTGCCAAAACCACAAAAGATGCCACTGATAATCCAAAAAAAAAAAATCAGATATTTATTGGGGGAAATAGGGTGCCTGTGGTACTGAATAGGCTTGTAGGAATGTAAAGAAAACGAACGAAACATAAAAAAATAGAGAACCACTCTAGTTAAAATGAGTTTTATTTACACATGTGTTTCTTATGGATTTTGGTTTTTTTTATACCTGTGCTGTTCAATATCACAGCCATTAGCCACATGTAACTAGTGAGCTCTTCAAATGCAGCTATCTCCAATTGAGACGTGCTATAAGCATAAAACAAATGTACAATGACTTCAAAGACTCAGTGAGAAAAACGTATGAATATAATAATCTTTCTATATTGGTTACATGTTGAAATGTTAACATTTTGGATATTGTGGGTTAAATAAAATCTGTTGTTAAAATTTGTTTCTTTTCATATATTTAATGTGGCTATGAGAATATTTTAAATTATGTATGTGGCTTTCATATTTCTTTTAGACAGCACTATTCTATACTTTCTAAGATCTTTTCATATTGTGCTAATTAAATAAGATAGAAAAATATTTACAGTACAAAACCCACGCTTTTAGCAGCTACATTAATTTAAGTAATTTAAAAAATGGGGCTCGTTGGAAAAAGTATAATTAGTTTTAACATCTCTAGACATTTTGAAATATTCTCTTACAACTATACTTGACTCTCTAATATTTAAAGAGTAATTTTAGTTAAAATCATATTATGGCTATGTACTTTGGTAATACTGGAATACTTGATAATTTGTTGTTATATTGCAAGTGATTCAGAATGGAACAAGTGATCTATCTTATTCCAAATGCTACTCTGTAGGGCCGGCCTGGTGGCGCACTGCTGTAGTGCGCTGCTTGGGAAGCGCGGCGGCGCTCCCGCCGAGGGTTCGGATCCCACATACAGACCGGTTCCCGCTCACTGGCTGAGCGGGCTCGGGAGCAACACCGAGGGTTGCGATCCCGTTGCTGGTCCCGGTCCGGTACGGGGGCGACACTGAGGGTTGCGATCCGTTGCCAGACACGGAAAAAGACAAAAAAAAGGAAAAAAAAAAAAAACTCTACTCTGTAACTAAATCTAGTATAATAAAGTTTTTGTGTATATCCAGAAATTTACTATTTAGTTTCTTTTAAAATATTCTACGTCACTGTCATGCTATTCAATTTATCACCACCAAAAAAACAAATACACCAACAACGGAATTATTATAGCAAGGAGTTACCTACCTTTAATTATGTAAAATATCTTATTTAATCTTAAATCAAGGAGTCTACAACTATTCTACAATATAAAAAATAGCTTACTACTATTGTCATATAATATGTCAGTAGGAACTGGTAAAAATTTTAAGCAGTAATTTTACAACAATAAATACTATAAAGATGTTCTTTGTACTATTTACATGTATTTACAGGTACATACAGTCATGTACCCCATAAAGACATTTCAGTCAATGATGGACCACATATATGACAGTGGCCCCATAAGATTATAATGGCTATACCATATAGCATAGGTGTATAACAAGCTATACCACCCAGGTTTGTGTAAATACACTTTATGATGTCTGCACAAGGACAAAATCGTCTAACAACATATTTCTCAGAACCAATCCTAGTTGGTAAGCAACACATGACTGTAAAAGGATTCTCTTAACTGAAGGAATATAAGGTTCCCGGGTTGGGTTAACACTAACATTATTAATAAATAAATACTCAAGTTAAGAGGGTGATGTATTTGAATAAGAAATGGGCATGCTGGGCCGGCCCGGTGGCACACTGCTACAGTGCTCCGCTTGGGAGTGCGGCGGCGCTCCCGCCGAGGGTTCGGATCCCACATACAGACCGGTTCCCACTCACTGGCTGAGCGAGGTGCGGGCGCAGCACCGAGGTTTGCGATCCCGTTGCCGGTCCCGGTCCGGTACGGGCGCGACACTGAGGGTTGCAATCCGTTGCCGGACACGAAAAAAGACAAAAAGGAAAAAAAAAAAAAAAGAAAAAGAAATGGGCATGCCAAAAAAGAAAAACAAGCAAATAATAACAGAAAATATAAAATAATTTAAGGATGATGAGCTTTTAGAAGATGATGATTAAGTCAGTTTACATAAGTTTGCTAAATATATTTAATAAACGGCAATTGGTAATTTTGGTGCAATGAACATAAAGTACACCTTTAAAAATTCTCAAACTGAAACAATCAAATTGGAATTTTAAAAAGTCAGTGTATTTTACAAAACATATAGAATAATCAAACAGCAATGATTAATAAAATTTTTTTCTTAATTGAGTTTCAAAATTCGTTATATTTTGTTAATGGGCCACAATAATCAACCACATTGTATTTTGACAAAATAAAAAAAAAATTAAAAAAGAAAAATTCGTTATATTTGCAATATTAGATATTGACCTTGCAGCTTTCATATACATGATGACCTGAGCCTATTTTGCCAGTTCTTGTTTAAAAACAAACTGACCAAACAAAAACAAATAAAACAGAACAATAACAACATTAGAATACCTCCTAATTTTATCAGAGTTTGACTGCTACCCCCAAACTATAATGATATCTCCTGATACATGGAAAAAATACATAGTAAGAAGTTCTGGGGGGCCGGCCCAGTGGCGCACTGGAGAGTGCGCTGCCTGGGAGCGCGGTGGCGCTCCCGCCGAGGGTTCGGATCCCATGTGGAGACCAGTTCCTGCTCACTGGCTGAGCGTGGTGCAGGCGAAACACTGAGGGTTGCGATCCCGTTGCCGGTCAGTAAAAAAGACAAAAAGGAAAAAAAAAAAAAAAAGAAGTTCTGGGTATTAACCTTGACATCTTCCACTAACTTGTGCTTAAAAACTGAGATGATAGGTATATAGTTTGGTAAACAGAAAAGTTTTATTCCAGTTATACTCCAAGCATCTAGCATAGGATCTGGCACACAGTTGGTGCCCAATTAATGTTGGATAGAAGTGGGGCAGGGGGTGTGAATAGGAATCTTCAAGACCGAAGGATTATAGAAGCTACTGGGTAAAATGTACTCCGTATAGTAGTAGGAAAACCAATAGTGGCTATAAATTTTTGGCAAGATAGAATCCACAGTATCCAGAAAGAAGGGTCACAGAACCAAAAACTAATAATGGATTTTTCTAATGATAGAAATGACTGATCCCATTCTCTCTGATCATTGAAACAGATGGATAAAGAAAGCAGTTTCTATGACATGTCCAGGGCTCAATGGGCTGTTAAATAAACTCAAACATTAAAAACAGGGGTCAGTTACCCCCGGAAGCAGAGCTTGATGGAATAAAATGGTAGTATAGCTCCTTGGAAAATACAGTGGGGGAAAAAGAGCTGTATTATTTAAGCCATTGCTAAAGTTGAACTTTATCATTTTCTTATCTGAATAATTAAAATTTCCATATAATAAGACATATCTAGAAATAGATCACAGTATTAAGTCTTACAAAATAAAGGGAAGCTTGATTTTAAAACATGGGATTCAGTGGTCTGTGAACACCATGTTTTTTTTCATTTCAAATACTTAAAACCTTAAAACACTGAACTTCCTATCCTGCTTAACTAACGAAAGGATACCATGAAAAAAAAAATATTTAAGTTTTTTACACTACCTTTTTCTGTGCTCCCATTTATTTTAGGTAAGAAGTCATCAACTTGTATCCCTAGGATTAAGACAGTATATCATTGCCTTATCAAAGAAAGTATCACACGATCTCAAGTGTAATCGTGGCATTTTGTATTTCTACTCACATTAAGATTGAATGGAGCAATTATTTTTACAAAAAGTGTTCAACTTGCCATTTTCTATTAATTCAGAGAAAAGGCTACACCTGCTTAGTGTCCTCCTGATGAACCTCAAAGGAAAAAGGACCCTGTGTTCATGTAATTTCTTATTTAAATATCTCTAAGTAAAATTTCAGGTGCAGAAATTTCATTCACCTCAAGGACTAAACAATGGTGCCCACTGGTGGCAATCAAGCATATATTTAAAGAAAATTTTCTACAAGATACTGTAGATACTTTATACCTAATAAGTAAAACACCCATTAAAAAAAATAAGTAGCCAATGTAAGATAGTAAACAAGGTCAAAAGTTTAATGCTGATTCAGTTTTATATAAGAAATTTGGATGACACCTACCTAAGCTGCTGCATTCTTTAAGAGTTTTCTCCTGAAGATGTTCTAACCGTACTGTAAACAAAAGTCCAAAAAAAAGATATTTCACAGATAAAAAGAAAAAAAAAATCAAATCAAATCAATTTCTGGATTAGCTAACCTACCTTGTAAAGCTGTTAGCCTTTCATTAGTAAAATCGTTATCAGCTTGCAAAGCTTCTATTTTTGCCTGAAGTTCCTGTTCTTTTTCTTCCATTTCATCTATTTTATGTTGTAATTCTTTTTTCTCGGCTTGTCCCTTCTGTTGGATTTCTTCTTGTTTTCCCTCTGCTACCTGTTGATAAAGAACAAAAACTCCATTATTTAATAAAACCTACCCTTGTTTTAAGGGGCCTTTTCCAGGGCTGCCTTTATTCACTTAAACTTCTAAGGAAAGTATTCGATATTATAGAACATATTTATAAAACTGGTATTTCTAAATCAGCTAAGAAGATAAAGACAAAGCCTTGTAAAAGTGATCTGCATTGGGGTCACTCCTCCATAACACCAGTAGAGAAAAACTTGGAGCAAGCAAGCAGGCTCAATACACATCAAAATAAAGGGTCTAAGTGAAAAACTCCACACATTAAAATAGGGAAGTAAGATTTTCCCTGAAAATTACTGTTGTTTCAGTTTGTTTATAAGTTCTAAAATGTAACTTATTGTGAAATTTTAAGCAAAATTATGCTTAAAGGGATGACTGTATAGCACTTTTCAAAAAGACCAATCTTTAAAACTTATAGGTTAACCAAGCACGCAGAGGAAAGGTATGCTCTGGTCTTCTCTAACAAGTGTGTACTTCTAGGCACTCTATTCATGGTTTGAATTATATCAAGATGGGTCTTCACAAACTTAGCTATAAGATTTTAAAGGACCAACTACACATTACTCTATCTTCTGATCAGTTCTTATCCTAAATGTCCTATAGCTACAGAGAGTGGCAGCTGAAGCAGAGTCAACAGCATTCCTGGAGGCTACACAGGGTCAAGCAGATCACACCAAGATTCCCTCTGGGCTTGTACCAGCACTAAATAGCTGGACCCTGCCTTTGAGATGGCTTAAAGATAAGCAATTTCAGGTTAAAAAGTCATCTGAGTATCTTGGGTTTTGCTGGTTCTCATCTACTTCCTGTTGTACACTAAAAGATGTCTATTGTAAGGTACTGACTACACTTCAATCCAGAGGAAACACATCAGCTTTTACAGGCTTTCAAATGACCGTGGTAGTGGGTGTTGGGCTAAATGGCATATGAGCACTTTATTTTCACTATAAATTTCAACCATTACCAAATTTTACATCAACAACTGTCTGGTAATGCCTAAACTCTTAAGCTATCCAATGTTAGGAACAATTAGCTTAACATACTTTCATCTTGAGTAAATACATACCTTTAATTTATCAGATAAATCTTTAATCTCATTAACTGCTCCATTATATTTATTGGCTAATTCTCTTAATTCTTCCTGAGTCCGTTCATTCATTTCTTTCAGGTGGGTACATTCATCTTCAGTATTACTCAGACTTCTCTGTGATTCAAGTTACAGGCAATTTATTTAGAATAAATGCACATTAAATATTTAGAATTCCTTCTAAATTAAGTTTACAGAAAGTATAATTCTAAGGGCTATTCTAAAGCAACACGTGCCCTGAACTTTATATAAAGCTGAGTTAAATAACTTAAGGACTTCGATTTACTTCAGGTACATACTAAAACAGAAAACACAACTAAGAATTTGGGGGAAAAAAGCGGGAGTGGAGAACAGGGTCAGAAAGAGGATGCTACTTTATATACTTATACTTTCAAGAGGCCAAGAGGTCTGACTTTTAGCCTTCAAAATATTTTAAGCCTATCAATTCCTGAAAACAAGTTTAATTATAATATGCAGCAAATAATTTAATAAGAAAATTAGAAGTCAGCTAGAAACTTTCTTTCCTTGCATGTCAAATTAATCACATGACATTGAGTCAGCCACTATGGTATGGGGCCTATATATAGAAACTATTTCTGTACTAAAGGCATGTTTACTATTTAGTTTATGATAGGCATTTCAGCCAACTCCAGTAACAGATAACTTCTGTGGTAATTTTGTAGTGGTTCAAAGAAATGACCTGTATTATGAATTAGGTTTTTTTAAAACAATGAGAATTACATATTAATTGTTCCTAAAAGACGTAGAAAGAACCTCAGAGGTAATATCCCCTTTGTTTCCCCTCTGGAGGATACATAAAGTATGAACACATGGTGTAGGTTCTCAGTCTTACACTGACCATCCTCCACTAGAAGAAAAATAAAACTGGGTGACAGGAGATCAATTCCCTGGCACATGTCATGGTCCACTGTATGAAGGGTGAATCCTAAGCATAGGGCAAACAGTAAGATTCCCTGGTTAGGCTTCTATTTCCTCAGTCACTGACTAGGGACCGTTAGCACCAGAACTCACATGGTTATGTTAAGAATTCATGTCAATGAAAGCAGCATACCTGCTCCTTCTCACTTGACAGAAAATATTTCCTAGTTATATAATAAAACCCAAGTTTAAAGTATCCTGCAATGTTCAAAAATTTTTAAAAATTCACAGTACTGTTTAGTACTTTTTAAATTGAAATACCTCAACTTCTGAAAGTTTTCTAACCACTTCAATTTTCTCCTGAAGAACTCGTCTCAGGGACTCTTTGGCTGTTGTCTCATAGTTGTGTTTATCCTCCTGTAATGCTATAAGTTCTTTCCGTAAACTATCTTCTGTTTGATTCTAGAATAAAAGATATTTATAATTATAGTCAAGTTTTTTTTTAAAGCATTTACTGTTTGAAAAAAATAACACATTATAATGCTCTTTTAATTCTTTATTAAGGTACCTCCGAACACAAATGATTTTGGTTCTGTATTAACTGAAGCTGTATTTAAAAGTTGCAATGGTAAATTATACCTTCATAAATATATTAATTCCCACTTCCAACAGAAAAAAAAGTCAAAGGCAACTGAGTATTTCCCTCAAATACACAGAATTAATTACTTTTATATTTGTCATATTCCCTGCAAGTCACCATATTTACATCTGTGGGCAAAAATAACCAATTACCCTCAAAAGCACAAAGCATTTTAAAACAATGGTTAAAACAAAAAGAATAAGAGCACCATGAGGAAAAAGAAGAGTCCCTGTCTGGGGCAGGAAATGTGCAAGATGAGCCTGGAACATATTGTCTGGTATGCCAGCAGGAAGCTACCAAAGTCTGCTAGGGTTCTATCAAAAGGACTCAGGAGTCAATCTAAAGAGATTCACGTGGACCAAAGATGGGATAATTTGAGAATCAGTAAGAAAAACAACTGCAACAGATTAAAACGTATCAAATATATTTAAATCTAGGTGGGGGGAGAAACACTTCATGATCATTCTTTGGTGGATGAACAGGAACCAATTCATTATTTTGAAAAAAATCATGTATCCTGCTTTTCCTATAGAAAATGTACTTCAGGGTAACCAAATGGTTGATGAGGGAAAACTTCTCTTTATAGAAGTAATCCAGCTAAATAAATAAAGGAATGATTGAATTACAACACCATTTTTGTAAAACTTAATGAAATAATGGATCTAGGCAAGGATCATCAATGATTGATAAAAATCTCAAAACGACAAACAACTAGACATTATGTTGCCTCTTGGAAGAACACAACACCATCTATGAAATGTTGTTGACAAAACAAAAAACCTAATCTAAATCAGATCAAATCTCTAGATCAAACTATTAATTTTATGTGGTAGAAGGGGTGCTAGAAGCACGTTTAAGTAACAGTGCAGATAGAGGGAAATTCTAGAGGACAAATCCCAGTTTCTTCAACAAATATCAACTGTAATAGAAAAAAAAGAATTGTACATGGGTATTCATTATACAATTCTTTCTACTTACATGTATGTTTAAAATTTCTCATAAAAGATTTAAAAGAGGGCCGGCCCGGTGGCGCACTGGATAAGTGCGCCGCTTGGGAAGCGCGGCGGCGCTCCCGTCCGAGCACGGAAAAAAAGACAAAAGACAAAAAAAAAAAAAAAAGATTTAAAAGAATGCTGAAAATATATAAAATTTTTAGCATATAATCAAAAAGACAAAGAAATGAAAAAAACTATGCATTTTTCTTTACATACTTGAGATTAATACCTACTTTGGAGCATGCTTGTAATTGGTTTCCCATAACTTCTAACCGTGATAAGAGTCTATCTTCATCTATTAAAGCCTGTTGATGAAAAATCAAATATAAATAAAACCCCAGAATAATTAAAAAATAACATGTGTATCAAAAGGGTTGCTACTTGACAACAAACATATAAATAAAATTACAAAATTGATCAACATCCACTGCAAAATGCCAAATTTTCAACATTTGTTTATTAGTTAGGAAACAACTTCGCCTTTGTTTGCTACAAAATTTTAGTTTTAGTTAATTCAGCATGTCAGGGACATTAAACTATGTTTAAATGCTTCTTGAATATAAAGGGAACTGGAATACCTGCCAACTGGTATCTGAAGCCTCTTGGGTGATGGCTAGTAGCCGCTGAAGCGTCGCTAACTTCTGTTCCAACATCTGTTCCCGATGTAAGGCCTCCTAATATTATAAATCACAAAAGAGATTCTAATAAATTCAGCATGATTCCTTTGAAGAGTAATCAATGTTTTTTAGCACACTCAAAATATTCTCATATTACATCCCACTTAATGTATTTCAAAGTATTTCAAAATTGATAACACATTTTGAAATATAAATAGGCCACATCATTTTAGCCTTATTTATTAGGCTGTAATCATTTGTTGGACTGTACATACTGCTACTAGAGGTGCTCTAGTTGCAACTTCCCTCACAAGTCACTTGTTTTTGTCTTCTCATAATTTAGAAGAATGAGTTTTTAAAAACCCAGATTAGAAAAAGCTAATAAAAGTTTTGGGCCGGCCCGGTGGCGCACTGGAGAGTGCGCTGCTTGGGAGTGCGGCGGTGCTCCCGCCGAGGGTTCGGATCCCATGTGGAGACCGGTTCCCGCTCACTGGCTGAGTGCGGTGCGGACGCAACACCAAGGGTTGCAATCCCGTTGCCAGTCCCCGGTGCCGGTCCCCGGTGCGGGCACGACACCGAGGGTTGCGATCCCGTTACCGGTCAGTAAAAAAGACAAAAAGGAAAAAAAAAAAAAACCCAGATTAGAAAAAGCTAATAAAAGTTTTAGGCTTGCATTTTATACATACATACACACACATATATACACATACATACATATATGTATATAATACACACACATACACACACACACACACACACATATATATATATATTCTCAGAACAAACTCATTTCACATATATATATATATCTCAGAACAAACTCATTTTAAACTAAGCCAAAATAATATGGTCAGCAGCAAACATACATCGTATATATATATATTCTCAGAACAAACTCATTTTAAACTAAGCCAAAATAATATGGTCAGCAGCAAACATACATCGTGATGGCTTAACTACACACGTATGACATCTGAAATAGAAATGGCTTTTAATTTTTCTTTTTTAGAATGTTACTTATATAAATATATATATGGATATCTAAAAAGAGAGAATGCTTCATTCTCTCACAGCCTATTGCATTTTCAGGTGTTCTGATTCTCTCCCAGGCTGTGCACCACTTAGCACCAATAAATATGGCAAAAATAAGTAAGAATCCACCAAATACTGGATCAAAGTAATTAAGGGATCAAGAGTTATGGACTATTTGGCAGCTCCAAAGTAATAGTTTATAGAGAAAGACACTGGTAAGAAAAGCGTGATCTCTAGGTGACTTGTTAATGTTTGAAGCTGTTAAGAGCATCTCCTTTGCTGGGAGTCAAGGTGAAATGCTCACAGCATTTAGTTGTGGTTTTGGCACACCTTCTTCACCTTCTTCTATTCCTGTCATTATCCAAAGAACGCTTACTACCCTAATACCTCTGAGCTATCTCAACAGAGAAATACAGGCTACAAACAAAGTACTTCAGGTTTAAAGCATAAATTTATTGATTTCGACATCCTTGATAAATAATGATTAGGGAAAATCTCGTCTAATTAGGGTTAGAGGTACCGTATTTTAATATAACTCTAAAGGTATAAATTAAGGTATATAATAAAAGACACACCCCCTCAGAATCCATATTAAAACACTTCAAAGAGACTATCTGTCAAGTTTATCTCAAGCTTCTAAAACATTCCTAATATCCAGTAAACTACACAGAGGCTGTAAAAAGTTTTACTGAAAAACAAAACCATCAACCAACCATATTTTAGAATCTACTTCCACTAGATGGTGTAATTTCACCTTTTCACTCAATCCCATTTAGACTTCCTTAACTCCCTGAACCACATCCTAACAGAAATCTAATACTTCCAGGATGGTCTTTTAGTTTTAAGGTATGACATACATCTATTCCAGTTTTTATTCAAAAAGTTTACAATCTACATTAGAACTTCAGCAATTCAATAAGGATGTGTACAGAAAAGACTGTGGGGTAGAATTTTCTCTCAAAGAATTAGAAAAACAACAGTGAAGGATTAGGTCTACTATGAATACTCAAAAAACTGACAAGAAAGTTGGAAAGACTGAGAGTCGGGGTGAGATTCACAAGCCCATGACGACTAGTTATTAACAGTGTATAATCTTGGGCAAATCACTTAACCTATATGAGCCCACATTTCTCATATGGAAAATGAAGTTTAAACCAAATTAATCTCAAACTTTTCTTCCACCTCTAAAAATAAGAGAAACCTAGCTCAATTAATGTGCCTTCCTATGGAATGGTAAACTACTAATATTTATAGCATACATTCTATGTGCCAGGCACATAGAATAGTACGCTTTATGTACTATTAATACATTTATTCTCCATAATTCTGTGAAGTAAATGCTATTACTATACCCATTTCATAGATGAGGAAAATGAGGCACAAAGGGGTTAAACAACTTTCATAGCAAGTCAGATTTAAAGCCAGGGATCAAGTCCAGGGAATCCTGTAGAGCCCATGCTCTTGAATACTAAAGTGCAAATATGCAAAACTGTTTTTCTATGCATCAGTACATTATGTCTGCAGGAAGATATGATTAATACATTGATAGTTTTCTGTTCATTTTCACAGATGTGTACGTTCTTAACTGAGATGGAATTGCTCTCAGTGACTGATTCCTGTAAAAGAATGTAGGCACACAGGACCACTGGTTCGGTTCTATTATTTTAAACAAAAGACAACTAAAGTCCTACACATGTAAAATTACTCACCCAAGGTCACAGAACTAATTGGGTAGCAGAACCAGGATAAAAACCTTAATCTGCAAACTCCTGACCAGCGTTTTCCTTAACCATGCTTCCTCACTAGAATAAGAACCATAATCCAACTCAAATCTACAAAAGCCCGGAAAAAAATAGCACTTGTTTGCTTTTTAGAGATTTGTATTGTTCTTTAAATATGGTGTTAACGCCTTCAGCAATCCATTTTCCAAATATCTGCTCTATCAAGAAATCTTTCTATGGATCTATGCTGTGCACAGCACAGCAGAGTGATTAAGAGCAGACTCTGAGGTCTGACTATTTAGGTTCCAATCCCAGCTCCACCACATATTAGACGTATGATATTGTATAAACTATTAAATCTTCCTGTCCCTTAGTAACTCCATCTGTAAAAATGGCAATAAAATATATACCCTTATAGGTTTGTTGCGAGGATTAAATAAATTAATATAGGTAAAGTGCTAGAATGCAGCTTGGCATACAAGTAGTCCTGTATAATTATTTGCTATTAGCATTTTTATTAAGCAATCCAACTCTCTCCAGGTTTAATTTTATTTAAAAGTTATCTGTAGATAAAGAACTATTTTGGAACTTCCTCATATTTATAGAAATAAATTTCTCTTGTACAGAAATTTTATCTTTCCTAGACTTAACAATCCTGACTCTTTTATCCTTTCTATATAAGACCTATTTTTAATCCTTTGCTCTTCTTTGAAAATATATTTCTTTTGTACTTATATCCAGCCAATATTTCTTTATCCTATATTTGTGAACTGGCAAAATAAAATCTAAGTTGTTTCATTCTGCTTTTAAAGACTAAGAATTCTCAAGATTTACTTTTACCTGTAGATACTGAGAAAGCTGGAATAGTTCCTGAGAGTACATACTTGGAGTGTTAGCAGCAACCTAGAAACAAAATGACATAGTGTCAACAATCACAGAAAAACACTTTATAAAGACACTGAAGACAAACCAATTCCCTGAAATGCCTATTTACTTAAATATGCAAAATGAAAATTATTTTTTAAATTAACCAGTTTCCCTAGTTCTCAAAATATTTCTGCCCTATGTCCAGATTTGTAAATAATATTACAGCTGACCAGTTTGAAGTTTATAAGCAAAGCGGTGGAACAAATGCTACTCATGAAAACATTACTTGACAAGCCAAATCACAAATTTATAGCACAAAGGCAATACAGCCTTTTCTTAATCCAGAATTAATACTCCCTAAATCAACAGATCCACATATTTTCCCTTTAAAATTCATCATTAAATAGTTCTTAAATATGTCAACAAATTACAATTCTTTAGAAGTAGCTACCTTCAAAATGGTATTTGTATGTGTGTTGGGTGGGGAGAGGAGACATGAAATATAACCTTTGTCCAATGGCCAGAGGCAATGAAAATAATTTGACTTTTTTTTTTTTTTCTTAAACTATAGGTAGGTTTTAAGAAAAAGATGAGAAATAATGGAGTTTAAATACTACAAATCACAGCCAAACTCCTTAGAACTCAAGAATACTAGAAGAAATATCTTCTATAAGGGATTTTTTCAAGGTTTGGAATACAGAACCATGGCTTTATTCCCCCCCTAAAAAAAGAAGGAAAGGAAGGAAGCACTAATGGGTTGCTGTAACATTTACCCACATCCTCAACACTAACAAGCTCTTAACTTATTAATGATGTTATAGCACCATCTCTTACTAAGCTCAGAAAGTAATTTTTCTTGATATGCTGACTAGAGGAAAGAGAGCTGGCATTTTTTTTTTTTAAAGTTAATTCTAAATCAGCATGACCATTATTTACTTCTGAAATAATTCTTGGTATTGCAGAAGTTAATGATTAACCACTTTTACTTCTAAAAAGGACTGTAGCAGATAACGTCACTTTCAAGCATTCTTCATTCACTTATATTCCTCATCCAAATGGAAGAAAAAATGTAAAATATTTTTCCCAATAGTTCAGTTACTACACTAAGAAAACTCAACATCCTCATTAATGTTAAAAGATGCAAAAGATGTATTTATTTATTTTTTGTTGTTTAGTAATGATATTTATGGTTCAATACACCATCATTTCTGAACAAAAAAAGATTTTCTAGCAAGCAATTACTGCAAAGTTTCTGATCAGATCAGCTTAAAATTGATCTCCAAGACAATATAAAAACAATATAAGAATATAATTTCTGTAAGCTCATATTTCTGTGCTACATCTCTGTATGGGTAAATGTTGAGTAAACTATTTGGGTAGAAAGTTTTAACAAACTTCTAGGCAGAACTATATCTCAGAACAAAAAGATATAACTCTAGCTGTCAAAAAAAAAAAAAAAAAAAAAAAAAAAAATAACACTCCTTACCTCTAGCTAGGCACAAAACAGGTCCTCCTAGTCTACACAACCAACAATTCATTTGAGATAACAAAGCCTTTTTCTGAAGAAACATCCAGCCTAAA